TAGGCCCTCTGTGTGCTTTCCAAGGTAACTGCGGCAAGACTAGTTTAAGGGCATGGCCCCTCATTAGAAAAACAGAAGTATTTTTAAATGAAACGTAATAAACTGAGGCATGCATAAGCATTGGTACCGTTTGCTACTGTCACATTTCCAATTACAATGAACATCCATGCAACGTTCTCCTCCTTTCTCATACGGAAAGTTATAACACCACCACACACTTTTTTTTAAAACAAAAAACAAAAATAAAAAAGGCTTCCACCGCTTCATGTTTTTCACCCTCTTCACTTCTCCAGCGCAGCTCCTCAGCTTAATGACACAACCAAAAGGCTACCTGCTGCTCCCAGAGCCCCCTGCCAGCCGCCCCAGAGCAGAACTTCTGGCTGGCTCCAGCACCTCCAGAGACTCAAAAGAAAGGAAGCCAACGCGACTCATTTACCAGCGCAGCCAACGGGGAGCAGGTGCGAAGGAAGTCGCCTGTTCCACAAATTGTACCCCCCTTTTTTAAACAAACCTGCTCAGGCATCTCCCACCTCCATCTCCTTGTCCCACAGCGCAATACCCACAGTAGTCATAAAATAACTCCTGAGGATTTTTCCACAGCGCACGCTTTCTGCCAGAAGCCATTCGTCAAACGAACGAACTCGGGCCCCCGGCCGAGAGGGAGGCGAGCGCGCGCACCCGGCCCGAGCGCTGCGCCCTGCTGTCCTGTGCCAGGGCGGGCAGCCTGGCCGAGAACCAGGGCAGGCGAGAGCGCCCAGAGCAGGCTGCAACGCGCGCACACCCCTTCCAGCATCGACGGCGCTCGCTCACCTCCGCACAGCGCTCCAACGCACCCCGGGAACATCCGCCGCCCTCTCTGAGCGCCGACCTGTCCCTCAGCCACACTCACTTTCAAGCTAATTATGGAAAGTGATAACTCTGTCAAACGGGTCCCGCGTTAAAGTCCCGCCCAGAAAATAACAAAGAGCGGCGAAGCTACAAAGGCATTAGGGCAGCTCAGGGCAGGAAGTGAGTCGGTAGGCAAGCGCGACTGATGTGCACCAGCTTACGCGGCGCGTTTCTCCCTGAAGCGCCCTCTGAACAGAAAGTGCTCCCCAGCAGGAGCTGGGCCACAGCTCTGGCGGAAACTGGCTGTCCCTGCAGGTGTCCACCACTTCTGGAAAGTAATCCCGCACATATTTCACTCTATTCGCTCAGTATGCGCATAGCCAGAACGTCTGCAATGCTTTCGCTGCAGCGCTCTCCTGCCACGCTTTCCTTTGTCGCACACGCAAGGAAGGCGAGACCTGGATGTAAGCGCTGTTGAGGAAGAAGATGCTCTCCTGATTTTCCAGATGTGTTCTGATGTAGAGAGTTCTTGGATTCCTTTCATCCATATCCCCTCATACAAGGTAAAAATAATGGAGCTTCCAGCTTTACTGAGGTCAACAGCAATATCAATCAAATAAAAATACTCAGTTAAAAAAAGAAAAACAGCAATGTATCGTCCCAGCAGGTTGGAGCAAATAAAGATTTTCATTTGTTTGTTTATTTGAACTTCTAACTACCTAACAGCAGGTCTAACCTTGGCTCAGAAACCCCGCACACAGCGTCAGCTGGAATTCGCCGCTGCCTGACCCACCACAGGCGCTGGCAGACCCACCTCAGCTTTACGCTGGCTAAAGCGGGCAGCAGGGCATTGCAGCAAAACCTCCCGGAGCCCCTGTCCTTCATGGGGTTTTGTCAGGTTACAGACAAGTCTTCCCTTCCTGTGTGTGTAGCCCTACTGTCAGACCTCCTTTCTCATGTCTTGCAGATGGTGAAATTACACCTTACATCTAAAATGCAAGAGAAGCAAGCAAGCCCATCTCGGTTATTTTCAATTGCTCTATTCCAACTGCTGGTTATCAGCAGAGATGCTTGCACTCAAACGTCATACTGGCTTACGCTCACACTACCCCACAGGCTACAACGGGGATACAGCGGCTGAAAGGCAGCGAAGAGCCCAGTCCCCTGCGTGCAACATAGCTGCTGTCTGTCTTTTGCAAACTCCTCTTGAAGCAGATTGCTAATTACTCCTGATTTTCGCTCTTCTAAAATAAGCTTATACTGCAGTCTGCACAGATGTTGCAGAAGGACTAATTAATTGCCCACCCACCTGAAATTCAAACTTTAACAAAATACATAGAAGGAAGACACGATATCAGTCGCTAGCAACCCTTGCTACCCCGCTGCCACCCGGTAACAATTACCCAGCGAGGACACTTACCCAGTCTTAACATACAATCCCGTTCAGAGAATCAGAGAAGTCTCGGGGACCTGATAGCAGAGCACGGAGCAAAGGGAGGAATTCCATACAGATGTCAAAATTAGCAGATTTCTGCATGCCGGCAGAACACCATCAGTTGGTATCGACGCCTGTTTGTGCCGGGAGGGTCTCTGAGCGTCCAGGCAACTGTCTGTTGTTTTCCTCCAGCTTGGTAAGACTCAGCTCGCATAAGCTTAAGGGGCAGCAGCTGACTCGGTGTGACCACTGGGTCAGGGCTTGCCAGGAGCAAAGAGTCCATTTGCTTCTGTGAGGCCCAGATTTCACCCAGCGATACCAGTAACTGGATAAATTAGCAGGGGAAAAGGCAAAGAACGGAGCAGTGGGAACACATGGCGATTGCTCTAAACAAAGCAATAGATTTTTACCTAAACTAAATACTGAAGACTAAGAGGAAGTGCAAGAAACCACATCGCTGTATCACAACAATTAGACCGGGGAAAGCACAGGAAAGCATGCCGGTGGGCACAATCCTGCTCTAGTTGGGGGGGTGGGGGGTGAATAAATCTGTCAGTCTCTGGTTTAAATGATTTATTTCAAAAATTCATCTGCAGATGGCCACTCCAAGGAGCAAAGGAAGTGATTATGTCAATAAATCTCCTTGCAAATACACGTCATATGCCACATTTCATGACTTTAGAGACAGACAGTCTTCAAAGGCAAACTATATCAAAACATTATTTTCCATTTCTCTTTCTAAATCGTCAGCTATGGTTGTGAAAACTTCAAGGCACACTCACAATTTACCGCTACGATACACGGCTCCAAAACCCCTCCCAGCCATCTCTGCTTTGACGTCACCTTCAAATGTGACTTCCGCTAATTCCCCCATTTTCTTCTCCATTGGAGGGTCAAAGCACTTTACACTCATTAGCCAAACTCTGAGGCTCCCACGGAACAGAGACGTACCACCGCGTCAACGTGGGGAAACTCGCGCTTGCGGCCTGTAAGCCTTTTATTTTCAAATCTACCACACAAAAAAGCATGCACAGTCATATCTATACCTTAAGCCTTTGCTTACAGTGACTGTATATGTGAAATCAGGTCCCACACTTACAAATATCTTTCTTGCTGCACAGTCGCAGCAAATGCGCAGGATGGCTGCATGAATGCGCACACAAGCAGACACACGTACCATCTCGTATGTATGAGAAAAGCTATCTACGCAATAAAAGCAAAATGCCTTGGCAGAGCAGGACTGCCATACCCTAACTACGGGGGCTGCGATGCTCAGCCTGCCCTGCCGGCAGCTGCCTGCCTCAGTTTCTCCTCTGCCCTTCCAGAGGCAGAGACATGGCATCTTTACCTTGGGCTCCTAATTATTTATTTTTAAGTTAGTGAACAATGAAAGAACAAAAAATGCAGGAAAAAAAAAAAAGCCCTACAACAAAGCAGGGGTAAAAAACAAGCAGGTGTTCCCTCCAGGCAACAAGTTCTTAGAAATTAAGAGATTCAGTACACAAAGGAGAAAAAAATGCTACCTAAGTACGCCTTGGCTGCACTCCTCCAGCCAGCGCTCTGCCCCAGCACGCGTCTCCCAAGAACAATCAGCACTGCCACCGCTCTGCCCCGATCCTGGCCAGTACTAGGAAGTCTATCGCTGTTTGGACCCTAGGCATTACTGTTTTCAAAACCATGCAGCGCTTTCAAAAACCCACTTCAGCAGTCGTACGCCTCCCCAGCTGCAACAGGAAAGCTGAGCTGTCCCTGAAGGCAGCTCTCCAGCCTCCAGGAAAGCTGCAGAACACATCACAGTAGTGCCGTGCCTCATCCCCAGCCTCTGCCTCCCCTTACTAGTTTTTTCAGGAGACCAGTTCGCTCTTTTCCTTTCTCCCCCGCTCCTTCTCGGTGCCAACACAAATTCCAAGCCTCAGGGATTAGTCAAAACATTCCCGGTTATCTAACGTTCAGTGCGCTTCCTGGTCGTGCTCTGCGTCTCCTTTGAAGACTGCTGTCAGGGATCGCTCTCCCAGTCCTCTCCCCTACTTAAGTATTTCTGTTTTTAAGGCTCCTGCTTGCTTTCCACGTGGTCGCTTGCCTTCACTGTTGCCCTAGCTAGAGGGCACCGGGCGGCACGGGCGATGGCCGGGC